TTAACATTATTGACACTCGCTGACTTTTAATAGTCATTCTATAAATGCTGTCCGTTTAAATGGCCTTACCTGTACACACTGCTGTATCCACCGGATTCCAGCCAGAGTGGATTCTTATGGAATCAGAACGATGCCACCTTGAAACGAAACCGAAAAAAATATTGAAACTGAAAAAAAAAATTGTAACTGAAATAAATGTACTGAAAAATCTTGTATTGAAACCGAAAAAAAAATTGATAGTGAAAAACAATTAATTGAAACTGTAATTTTTTTTGTTTTCGCTTACAATTTTTTTTTTTCAGTTTCAATCCATTTTTCGGTTTCAATCCATTTTTCGGTTTGAATCCATTTTTCAGTTTCAATCTGCTGGCACTGTTTTGGCGTTCGGGGGCGTGCTGGTGGGGGGTGGGTGGGGGTGGGGGGGTCCGGCCCGCATGTATTTGCATACATTATAGAGGCCACTAGTGCTGACCAAGCTGCCATCTTTCTCTCTTCCCGTCTTTCAATGGCTGCCTCAATTTCAGCTTGACCCTCCAAACCGCAAGTAAGTAATCATTTTTTGTCATCTTTTTTTGCTGTCCCACTGGGCTGGACATTAGTTTAGTTTTTTTAGCTACATCTGGTGAAGTTGTGGTAAAATGCTGGTATTAGCCTATTCGTCGTAGCAAGCTAGCCTGAAGCTAATATTTGCTAAATTTAGGGACACCCGTGTCTCTTCAGGAGTTGGAGGCCGGTGTTCTAGGAGCGGATCTCAGGATCTCAACAGGCAGTGCCACCTGTTGAGATCCTATTACGTATTTAATGTATTAAATACGTAATACATTACGTATTTAAAATACAAAATATGAGTAAATGTATCCGTTACAGTTACTGGTCAATAGGTGATATTGAGAATACAGTTAGTTTGTTGAAATAAATGGATTACATGGCGGTATTTTCCTGTTTCATATGTTAGGCTATGGTCTCTCTATTTTTGGTAATTCCACGCCGGTGGAAACCCAAACAAATCACGCAATAAGAGCCTCTAAAAACTATTATACAAAAATTATTTAATATGAAGGCAACAGCAGAGTGTTACAGGCATCGCCCTAAACAATGTAGCCTCATGGGCAGTGTATTCTGTGCTGCAGGGACAATGGACTGCCATACCCGTTATGTGTCTGTGAGTGAGAGAGGGAGAAAGAGGAAAAGTACGAGCTGTCACGGAGCAGAAACGGGAGCTGGAAGCATGTAAATATAATAATAACCACTGCAGCCAAAAAGAGTGCCTGACGAGCCCAGTTGTAAGTAAGCTGTTAAGACTCGACTGTACTGTTCATGTTTTTCCTCCGAAACAATAAGCAGCCTTTCAACGCCGCTCTCTGTCTCTCGCTAGCAAACTTGACCCAGACAACAAAGTAAAGCTAGTTTTCAGCTACGAGCCCAACACGAACCGGACGTATTAGCCAGAGGTCCCTTTACTACGGTTCGGAGCCGCTGACCTATGGAAGAAATATAGTATCATCAGAATTCAAGTATTTTTAGACATTGAATTTATGACACTGAATTTTTATCCTCCAAATTTCCCTGCAAAAATATTCACCTGCAAAAATTCACCTGCAAAAAATTCACCTGCAAAAATTCACCTGAAAAAAATTCACCTGCAAAAAATTCACCTGCCAAAAAATTCACCTGAAAAAAATTCACCTGCAAAAATTCACCTGCAAAAAATTCACCTGAAAAAAAGTTCACCTGCAAAAATTCACCTGCAAAAAATTCACCTGCAAAAATTCACCTGCAAAAATTCAACTGCAAAAGTGATGAACTTTAATGACCCAAGCCAGAGCAATCAGCACCAGATCGAGTCGAGTGGCTCTCGGCCAATTAAATTACGCTGTTTGATCACATGACACCGTTAGCCAGCAGTTTGTCTCCTAAAAGAGAGCTGTTTAGAGGTGAGTGATTAAGTTTTTCTCCTAAATAGAGATCATTACAGAACGCCTAGTCCTACTTAAAATCCCATTTATTTTTATTTTATCATCTACTCGAACTAAGGAAAACGTTTGACTAACTCAAAGACAATTTCCACGCCTCCCCTGCCTGACTGCAGAGGCAGTTTTGAATTTAGGAGCAGCAAGATGGAAGCGGCAAACCCTGGCGATTCTCCGGTAAGTATATTGTTTTTTATCTTCAAGTTTGTCTTTTGAAACGTTAATTTTATTTAAATCCGTTGCTCACGTATAAAGTACACAGACGGGGTCTTTGCTCAACTCGTCTGAGGCGTGTCTCACTAAGCGCTACATGCTAGCATCCTGCTAACCGAGCTACCCTTTACATGCTGTGCTTTAGAAAATAGGATACTCATTAAAAAATACTCCGCAGATATTGATAGATAGACGAACACTGCAAATATAATGTTGTAAACGAAAACGGCCTTTGGTGAAGTGGTAAAATACACCATGAATAGAGCCATAGAGTGAATGGCTGCCATGGTTGCAGAACGGCCTGATTTAATGACAAGAATGGGAAGAGTGAGGCGAAGTGAACCAAAGCCACAAAACACGGTCAGACAAGGCGGCAAAAGGGCAGTGATCTGTCCGTCAGTATGAAGTTGGTGTGTGCTTTGGTGAACAAAAACTCGAGACCGGTAGCAGGAAGATGGGAGACTCGTGTTTCACTGGAATAGTGGTGAATTAAAACATCCTTTGTTGGGAACATTTAGGTGTAAATGCATCCATAAAGGTGAGACAGAGGCAGACTAGACAGTGAAGAAAACAAGGCAAGCATTGGAAATATTAAAACGGAAATATAGGATTAATATAACATACAATTGGGGAAAATGTAAGGAACACAATGTAAATGATATTGTAAAGTCATTAAAACAGCATACTCTGATTAAAAGAAACAGATAATTGGGTAGGAGGATGATGATAATAATAATAATAATAATAATAATAATAATAAAATAAAAAAAATGTACAAGATGGGTATGTATACTTGTAGCCAGAACTTAACAACTATAAAGTTGTAGCATGCCAGTACCTTACCCCATCCATTATATCCACACTTTCAGAAAAGGATATGGTCAATATCTTTACAAATACTATCTAAACTTAAACTGGATATCCCCTCTGCTTCTTCTGCTTCTTGTATACACCCTCAGGGTTTGTGATCAGCCAGCGGCTGATATGATCATTAATCCTGTAAAATAATATTCTTTCGGTTTATGAATCTGTTTGCATGGATTTCTTAATCTGTTTCCACTGTTAGCAGAAGTTGTGGTGTGCTGCTCTCCAAGACTACAAGCTGCGTTAAAGTTGGAAGTAACTGGCCGATGTTCCACTGTTGAAGATAGCTGTGCCCATTTGTTGCACATTGTGGGTATGGAGAAGTTGAGGCCCTTGCAGGCTACCCACAATTTCCCCAAACTGAGCGATTATACATCTTCCTTCCATATTTGTATCTTGTGTCACTAAAAATAATTTTATTTAATTTTATACATTGATTAATGACCTGCAGAATCTCCTTATCATATTAAGTGATTCATAATTGTCACTTTATGCTTTCTCCATCTTGAAAGTGATGACATCCTTGCATTACATCCTTTAGGTTCATTTTCTGCAGGCAGGTTTCTGACAGAGAACAGGCAGATTTACACTATAACATGCAGCGTTCTATAGATGGACACATAAAGAAATGAAAAATTACATGTATGTGCTAACTTTCTAAACACTGTTACATTAATGATTAAGTAGATAAAACATTTATGTCAGCCTTGGCTCATAGTTCATTTAAAGACAAGAACTTTGTGTGTGTTTCAGGTCCTGCACTCTCAAAGACTGAATGAACCAGCATTGCAGCCATGGGTCACTGTGAGCATCACAGGGAAGGTTGAAGCCGCCCACTGCACCTGTAAGGCCGGAGTCATGGAGACCTGCACCCACGTCACTGCTCTTCTGTTTAATGTAGAAGCAACAGTGATCTGTGGCACAAGGACTGTTACAGATGAACCTGCATACTGGGTTTTGCTGGGTAATATGACCAAGATACAGCCAGAGGTTGGCCATAAGATAGACTTCTCCTCTTCAGCTGCCCAAAAAAAGGCTCTTGATCAGAACAAACAGACCATCTGTAGTGACAGGTAAAAGGAGCCGTCCTCAAAAAAGAAATCCCACCTGCTACCGTGGAGGAGTTGTCACTGCTATAATGCCATCATGTTTTATCTAGGGGTCTAGATTTATGCCTATAGTGCACTGCCGTGTAAATAATTTGCATTTACTGAATGAGTATCACTGTTCAAAAATTGAATAAAGAAACAAACTAATTTTTGCCTTTTTTTTTTTTATTAAAACCACTTTATAGAACATCACATCAGTTACAATGTAGAATCCATGTCACTGGAGAATTTTGATTCAATAAACAGTAAAAAGGTGAGCTGTGAAGACCAAGGACAAGTGCAGCTCACAGGTTTTCTATCCAAGGAATCCCAGAAGATTGCATGGTGTCATTGCCCAACAGTTGTTCGCAGGACATATGGACTCAACCTCAATCCCTCACACTAAGCACCATGAAGTGACAGTGCAGAGGAAAAACTCCCCTTTAACAAGAAGAAACCTCCAGCAGAACCCGGTTCAGTCATCTGGGTTTGGAGGAGAGAGAGAGACACAGAACTACCAAAAGTATATATTTTTTTTTATGTGATTGACTGTTGTTGTAATTCAAGCCCTGAGTGTAGAGCAGGTAAGATATAAAGTTGCATCCTAAATTCCATGCTCATGCAGAGTGTTTAGTTTATGACTTTTTCACCTGGTCATTTCTTGATGAACAGATGGACTTTTAGGGTTGACCAAGCTGGTACCTTGACTCTGTTCTCTGCAAGATGTTGCAAAAAACAAAATCATATGGAGACAATATTGGACACAAAATATATAACAATTTAGTTAAATGTAGCATTAACTCATAGGTCTTGCTAAAGTAAACCTTGTGTTCTGATTCATCACAGCAGCAGTTCAGTTGGATCATGTCAGTAACTGCAGCAAGTGTCTTGCTGACTGAATAATTACATCTTGCATAATCTGAAACAAACACATAAAGACAGAAACAATTTATAAATTAACGTTTGATAAAATCTAAGAATTAATCATTTATTAGATACCAATATGTAGGGCTGCTCAATTAATCGAATTTTAATCACGATTACGATCTGGGCTTTCAACGATCATTAAAAATGACTGAGCCGATTATTGGCCCCTCCCTCATTTATCCGCGACACCTTAAAGGCCGGTCCGTGAAAATATTGTCGGGCATAAAGGGTGGCGCAAAAAAGGGTGGAGACCGCTGATTAAGAGGACCCGAGGGAAGCTCGGAAAGCTAAGCAGAAGTTATTTGGAGAGGAGAGTGACTGCCGTTGGTTGAAAATAGAGGTAAAAAAAAACTTCAGTGGTGTTGCACACTATTTTATATTATTTTTTAAAGTCATTGTTAACCCTTTAAAGCCGGTCAGAGCAGCACGCTCCGTTTTGCGTAACTATTTTTAAATCCCTGTAGAACCTGAACCGTGTAAGCTAGCGCAATAATTTGTTTTGCATATGAAACCGGAGGAGTTGTACTTACATCTGATGCCATCAGCTTGTCCTCGGTCACGGTTTCGTTCCACATATAGCTTTGCAAAAATTGCATAAAAAGCGCTTGCAGGAACAAAAGCATAATATTCCAGAAACACGCTTTGCCGTTCCTATCAGCTGTTCGTAACACTTCCCACAGTAAAATGATGCACCTGCTGTTTTCTTTGCAAATTTGCATCATAGGATTGTTTTTTGTTTTTCCTGCAGTATATAAAAATTGCTGTATCTCCAAAATAAAACTATGAAGACACTCAAAATAAATTTCCTGTTGTTGTAAACTATTTTTTGCAACTTTATTGTATTTAAAGTTTTGAGGGATAAACCTCTTAAATTTCTCCAAGTAGAAATATATGTAAACAAAACAAAAGCGATTTTCTATTTTTTTTTGTAGTTTATTGCACTTTTTTGCAATTTATGTAATTACTATGGACTTAATGCATACATATTATTAAAATATGGGCTATAACAGTTGTATTGATGTATAGCAACTTGAAATGCTCCCACAAATGGCACTACAACATGTAAAAAAAAATAATATAAGCTCTGGTGGACTTGGTTCTATAGTAGGTCTTAAAGGGTTAAATAAATATCGTCAAATAATCGTGATCTCAATTTCAGTGAAAATAATCGTGATTATCATTTTTGCCATAATCGAGCAGCCCTACCAATATGAATATGTCTACCATAAAACTTGTGTGGAGCGAAGTTACATTCAATCAAGATGGTCTGGCATGCTACAACTTTGTAGTTGTTAAGTTCTGGCTACAAGTATACATACCCATCTTGTACATGTTCTTTAACATTATTATTATTATTATTATTATTATCATCATTATTATCATCATCATCCTACCCAATTATCTGTTTCTTTTAATCAGAGTATGCTGTTTTAATGACTTTACAATATCATTTACATTGTGTTCCTTACATTTTCCCCAATTGTATATTATATTAATCCTATATTTCCGTTTTAATATTTCTAATGTTTGCCTTGTTTTCTTCACTGTCTAGTCTGCCTCTGTCTCACCTTTATGGATGCATTTACACCTAAATGTCCCCAACAAAGGATGTTTTAATTCACCACTATTCCAGTGAAACACGAGTCTTCCACCTTCCTGCTACCGGTCTCGAGTTTTTGTTCACCAAAGCACACACCAACTTCATACTGACGGACAGATCACTGCCCTTTTGCCGCCTTGTCTGACCGTGTTTTGTGGCTTTGGTTCACTTCGCCTCACTCTTCCCCATTCTTGTCATTAAATCAGGCCGTTCTGCAACCATGGCAGCCATTCACTCTATGGCTCTATTCATGGTGTATTTTACCCCTTCACCAAAGGCCGTTTTCGTTTACAACATTATATTTGCAGTGTTCGTCTATCTATCAATATCTGCGGAGTATTTTTTAACGAGTATCCTATTTTCTAAAGCACAGCATGTAAAGGGTAGCTCGGTTAGCAGGATGCTAGCATGTAGCGCTTAGTGAGACACGCCTCAGACGAGTTGAGCAAAGACCCCGTCTGTGTACTTTATACGTGAGCAACGGATTTAAATAAAATTAACGTTTCAAAAGACAAACTTGAAGATAAAAAACAATATACTTACCGGAGAATCGCCAGGGTTTGCCGCTTCCATCTTGCTGCTCCTAAATTCAAAACTGCCTCTGCAGTCAGGCAGGGGAGGCGTGGAAATTGTCTTTGAGTTAGTCAAACGTTTTCCTTAGTTCGAGTAGATGATAAAATAAAAATAAATGGGATTTTAAGTAGGACTAGGCGTTCTGTAATGATCTCTATTTAGGAGAAAAACTTAATCACTCACCTCTAAACAGCTCTCTTTTAGGAGACAAACTGCTGGCTAACGGTGTCATGTGATCAAACAGCGTAATTTAATTGGCTGAGAGCCACTCGACTCGATCTGGTGCTGATTGCTCTGGCTTGGGTCATTAAAGTTCATCACTTTTGCAGTTGAATTTTTGCAGGTGAATTTTTGCAGGTGAATTTTTTGCAGGTGAATTTTTTGCAGGTGAATTTTTGCAGGTGAATTTTTTTCAGGTGAATTTTTGCAGGTGAATTTTTTGCAGGTGAATTTTTGCAGGTGAATATTTTTGCAGGGAAATTTGGAGGATAAAAATTCAGTGTCATAAATTCAATGTCTAAAAATACTTGAATTCTGATGATACTATATTTCTTCCATACTGACCTGTTTTATATACGTTTTATATACCTACTGTTATTCATTTATATTAAGATTTTAACATCTAGTTGGTATTGGTATGGCGAGTAGCCTTCAGTAATAGTAATAAATCACACAGCAATAGTACATTCATGTAGTTGTAAAGTATTCAGAATACATTACTTCTATAATCTTTGGTGGAATACATTTTAAAATTAACCTTCCCAACACTGTCAACAGGTTAGCACCTCATACCACAGTGCATCAAAGCAGTCTCATGAGCGCTGGGAAGGACGAGCCCAGAGTCCAAAACAGACAGTGCAGGAGATGACAAGGTTAGTAATTGTATGGTGAAAATTATACTTTGTTATCTTGATTGGCAAAAGAAAAGTAAATACAAAATCTGCTTCTCACATTTAGGGCATTTCCAAGATATTTTTTTTTCAAAACTTCAATTTCTTTCATTACAGCTGTCCTATGCCAGAAGTTCTGTTGACCCAGAGTGAGAGGTATCATTTCAGAAACACCAGGAAGACTGAAACTCGTCGCCAGGATCAAGCAGGGCTCGTGATCTTCACCAGCAGCTCCCTCACAAGAAGGATAAACCCAGCATTTCATGAACACTGATGGAGACCTTTGCTTTGTGTAATGTTAGAAGTACTCAGATAATCCTCAGAGGGTCTGGACTTTTACATAATATAATAGAATAGAATTCAACTTTGTTGTCATTGCCAGAGCGTTCTCACTCCCGAGGCGTAACATGTCGACGTTTTGTCACGTCCCGCGGCGTTCCTGAGGAACGCGAAAGGAGACCTTCGGCGTTCTTATGGTACGCGGTGGGTTATGGCTGGAATCCAGTGCAATGACGCTCCCGCGGTAATAGACGTTCCAGCCCTGTATTCCAGCCCTAAACCTAACCTTATCCCTAGCCCTAACCATAACCTTATTCCAGACCGTAACCAGGACTTTAATGATGTTAAATAGCGTGTTTCTAAGCGATTTGAAGAAAAAGAGCGAACATGTGTAGGTTCAGTCCAGACGGTTCTCATATTTCCTCTTTTTCCGAGGTCGTCATTTAGGAACGTGGTGGGTAGCCGAAAACGTAATATGGTGACGATTTGTCAACTAGCGTAAAATGTTACGCTTTGGGAGTGAGAACGGGTTGTCATTGCACATGCACAGGGCAACGGAATGCAGTTTGCATCCATCCAGAAGTGCCTTTAGCCATGATATAGATATATTACAATATATATTAGCAATAATATAGATATGTAAGTATATTACAGAAATGGGTCTATTATGGTATGTTACAATGTACACGGTATGAAGTATGTTAAGAATATTCTATAACTATGTACAGGCTGTAGTGAGTACAAACTATGTACAGGCTACGAACAGGATATAAATATGAAAAACTATACAGAAATCTGAGATATACAGTTATACAGAAATGTGAACTATGCAAATTATAAACAGTTGTAGGATTAAAAATCATCAGATGTACAGAATGATTATTTACACAGAACTATACAGTAGTGCAGTTAAGTAATAGCTATAGCTATAAGCTATAGTAATAGCTTTAAGTCCTGTAGAAAGTTAAATATATGTTGTGGTTACTCTGGTATGAATGACTCTGAATTACTTTATGATAAATAACACACTATTGTCAAAAAACAGTGAAAGAATTCCAGATCACAAGTTTTTAGTTCAAATACAAGTAACAACCTTTGACTTTAATCAGGTTTTATTTAATTGTGTCAGAGAAAACATCATGTGCTCTTCATGTAGCTGAGTACATTCAGTGTTTAAAACAGAAGTTGTGCAGGTCTGAGATCAGCAGTTTTCTGAAACACCAAACTGAGGTTCTGTTAATGCTGATGTATAGTGACACAGTTACAGGGGTGATTAATCCTTTTGACTTTTTGTCTTTAAATTTATCAATAAAACAGCTGCAGCTTTCACTGACAGCACATGTGGTACTTTAACTTTTGTACTGTTTTCTTCAGTTAATTTTGGAGTTACTACAAAGATTGAAGATATAGGATGGTCTGTCTGCTGTCACTGGGTGGTGCTGAGGTCTGAATCTGAGGACAGCTCCTGTAATCACAAACAGAACAGAATCATCACAAACTGAAATATAAAGTTTATCTCTCAAATCTGAAATAGAGCTGATCCTTCTCTGTCCTCACTCACTCGGGATCTGAAGTTGTTCAGTCCTACAGTTCTGCCGACAGCTGTTTATTTTTTTTATTTGTTTTAAAGGCCTTACTAACACATTTTCTAATATCATGTTTACCTTTGAGTTGTTGATGCTTTATAAATGGACATCTGCAAAGATGAGATGATGGAGCAGGTTTCAGTCGAGGTTCAGTCTGCTGCTGCATCCTGGTCACAACATACAGAGGTGTTATCAGCTCAGTATTGAACAAGAAATATTAATGTTTCAAATTATTTGTCCTAAAGGATGCAAGCTGTACAGAGTACTGCACATGTGACTTTGTGAACATAATTCATTAAAAATAAATTGGACAGTTTTTTAACCAGAATATTTGTAACAAACTCAGTAAAAAAACAAAAACAAAAAAAAGCTAAAAAATAATCAGAGGAAGAATGTAACATTTTAACTTAAGCTGACAAGCGGAAGGAGTTGGTTTCAGTACATAAGTATCGGGCTTTGCTATTTAATCCGTAGCTATTGACTAATGAGGGGAATTTAAAAGTTGGCGTTAATGTCCTTCCACATGTGGAAAGCGACAGAAAACATGCTGCTGTTTGCACATATTTAATAATCAGCTCTGCACAGGAGCAGAAGCAGAGTCCAGCCTGTTGCTCTTACAGTATAATACTCATAATAAAAGTACAGTAACCGTGGTTAGTCACTAAGCAGCCCGGTGCGTTTCTCTTAATTTCTTTAGTCAGGGTAAATTCATTCACCTGCACGGGTTAGCTAAATGAACTTTACAAAACAAGTTTCCCCGACAGCCGAGTGTTCATTTTAGCTAGCTAGGTCCTTAGGTAGCTAAGGACCTAAATTACGGATTAGCTTACAAACACATTTAACCTACCAAAAATAATGCGGTGGGGACTCAGGTCCTCCTGTCCGGTAGTCCAATTTACTGAAGAACACCTCAGGCTGTCACTTTGAAATAGTCGGTAATGTAAACGCTGGACCTCTCGGCATCTGCCATTCCCGAACAGACATGTGTGAGTTTGTCCGTGACCGCAGCCGCGTCGTCAGTGTTTTCTCCAGTCATTGGTCAGCATTATAATATATGCAAATACATGCGGGTCGGAATCCCCGCCCCCCAGCGCGCCCCCGGACGCCAAAACAGTGCCAGCAGAGTGAAACTGAAAAATGGATTGAAACCGAAAAATGGATTGAAACCGAAAAATGGATTGAAACCGGAAAAAAAAAATTGTAAGCGAAAACAAAAAAATTACAGTTTCAATTAATTGTTTTTCACTATCAATTTTTTTTTCGGTTTCAATACAAGATTTTTCTGTACATTTATTTCAGTTACAATATTTTTTTTCGGTTTCAATATTTTTTTCGGTTTCGTTTCAAGGTGGCATCGTTCTGATTCCATAGATTCTGGAGTCTTCCCACGCTCCTGTTAGTGATCCTCCATCTGGATGGATGAGACAAACCTTCTGAACAATCTAGCAGGACATGGCCCATATCTATGGGACTGATTTCTGCTAATAACGCCTGATGGACTGATAACATCCAAAGTGGGTGAATAAAGTCACCCAGTCACTAGCTGTGCCATTACCCAGCATACACCACTCCCTCCATAAATGCAATAACCGATACAAAAGTAATAGCCTATAATTAATGTATCTGCTGTTTCTCAGGTAGTTGTTTACATTATATAATTTATTGTGTTCAGTACACGTCACTACAACGTGATTTCGGAAATGTATAAATATACGGACAACAGGCTCTTCCGCGGAAATCTCTTGTCGTCAATAAACAACGTTTAGGGAGCTCTATAGTATTCAATAAGAGGACCCGCCATGTCAGTTCTCGACGCGAGGGGGTACCCTGCGCGTCGATAAGTGAGGCAGAGGGAGCCTGACCATGCGTCACACATTTGACGAGTTGGGAGTGAGAACGTATTGCTGAGACAGGATATTTCAATATTGCGCAAATGGAAGAAAGCAATCCTACATATTTGTTTAATATGTGCAATGAAGGACATATCCTGGTCAAAAATGACTCCAAGGTTCCTCACAGTGTTACTGGAGGCCAAGGTAATGCCATCCAGAGTAAGAATCTGGTTAGATACCATATTTCTAGGATTTATAGGGTCGAGTACAATAACACCAGCTTCATCTGAATTTAGAAGCAGTTAAGAGATTTGTAACTTTAAGACATTCCTGCAGTTTTACTAATTGGTATGTGTTATTTGACTTCATGGATAGATAAAGTGGGGAGTCATCTGCATCGCAGTGAAAATGTATCTTATGCCTTTTGTTCATAAAACACTTGCTGCGGAAAACGCCATGCTACGGGACTCAGTCAAATCTCTATCCGAAAATGTGACCCAGTTAAAAATAGAAAATATAAAAATAAAAGAGAGCATTATCGATCTGCAAGCCCGTAGCATGAAAAGTAATCTTGTGTTTTCTGGTATTCCAGAGTCTGCCGGAGAAGTCCCAGAAACGACCATGAGAAGCTTCATGTCAGGGCTCTGTGTGCAGGCGGATGGAGAGGAGGATCCAAATGCGAGACTCGGACACTGAATACAACTCAAAACCTCAGCTTTATTGCTGGCAT